GGCCGGCCGCGGGCGGTGGCGCCGACGACGTTGGAAGATGAGATAGGTGGGCTTGGGGCGGTTTTTTGAGGCAGGACCTGATGGCCGCTTTTGCAAGCCGTTATGAGAGACCATATGTGTCAACACTTGGCTGCCGGCGGGCTGCAGCAGGTATCCCCATGCTGTACACGCCAGCGTGCGTGCCGCCGCGGGCCTGCTAGCCAAACCCTCAAGGCCATCCCGCCGGCACCTGCCCCTGAGAAGATCCAATGAAATAACCCCCACTCGGCCCCTCTCCTGCCTGCACTCTGCAGCCGCCCGGCCGCGCCACAGCGTGGCTGTGCGGGCGCTGCACCTAGGCTCGTACGCGTTCAAGGGCGCCACCGCAGTCAACCTCGTCACCGTCACCGCCGCCTCCCTGGCCGCGCGCGAGGCGCTGGTGGCGCGGGACGAGCCCAGGGTGCCCAAGGGCCGCAGGCTCGCGGAGCGCTCCGGCGTGGCGGACGGCGCGGTGGCGCCGCTGCCCGACATCCTGCCCGGCCTCAGGGACAGGTTCCTCGACGCCGCCGCCGCCGAGGGCGACGCGGCCGCCGGCGGCGGCGAAGGCGTCGGCGCCGACGGCGAGAAGGGTGCGGCGCCAAAGGGGCGCGCCGCCGGCGGCGGCGGCGGCTACGCGGCGTGGCTGTCTCAGGAGCTTGCGCGGCGGCGTCTCTTTGAGGGGGAGGGCGCGGCGCCGCCGGCGGACCCTTGGGCGATGAGGTCGTTCACAATCAGCGGCAGCTTCAAGCGCTTCTCGGCCTCTGGGGACGCGTGAGTCCTGCGGGTCGGAGCCTGCGGCCGCCTTGTGTGCCCCTGGCACCTCGGCTACCTGGTTTTTGCAGGCCAATGATTGCGCTCCCTGAAGGAAGCAAAGTACGACGTCCGACAGCCGCTTGCCTCCGGGGCTGTACAGGCACTCTCTTTTGCGCACGCTCTTTATTGCCCAGCTGACCTTGTTAACGCATGCGCCTCACATCCATGGCACGCAGCACCCCCTGCGAACACGCCTGGCGCCCTGCCGCTCTGGGTCACGCGCCGGGCGCGGCTGCGCGCGTGCAACCTGGCACGCGCCGCCGGCCCCCTGCGAGGGTTCGGCCGGCGTGTGGCGTTGACCTGTTGACTTGGTTTGTTTGCGGCGGTGCAAGCGGGGCGCCCTTGCGGGGCACAGCTCCTGCGCATACCATACAGCGGAGCCGTCCACCACACTTCTGCTCAGCCAGGCATACCTTTCCACAATTACTTACAGCCACGGGTGCGTTGGGCTACCCAGGAGTTGGAGGTCGTTACAAAACGAAGCAATACTTGGAGCTATGGACATGCAGTTGCCTTGCCCGCTTTTTGCGTTTTCCATACTTGGGGGTTGGCTGGGCTGCCACGCTTCACAACATCGGGGGCGCCTATTGACACTGTTTCGGGGCTCCACAAGCTTGGGGATTCCCACACGCATAACCTCTGATATCAACCCTGCTATGGAGCCTGCTATCCACCCAAACACTTCAGATTACTCTCACGTATTGCCTGCCTGATCGAAGCCCTGCACTGTCGCACATCGTGCCGCCTGACACTGCACAGGCGCGCTGGGTGTGCGGGGGGTCCCTGCTGTGTTGGCGCACCTTCCAGAAGCAACTGGCATATCAACAGCCACGTCACAACTTGTCCACATATGCCTGCCAAGCTACCCCCTCATCCCCTCAACTACTTCACATTGCGGCTCAACAAAGCACTGACAACACTGTCAACTCCAGCTTACCCGCTGGCTTCTTACCAAGGGATGCATTCGCCAGGAGTGCAGGCGCTGCGCAGGGGTCTCGTAGCGTAAGGCTTCCTGCAGGAACCTGCAAAAGCCCAGATCAGCGGAAGCCGCTTTTGTCGGACTGAAAATCAGAGGTGCAGCGGCAACGGCGCCAGCAAAAAGAATCTCGTCCCAGCGGGGCTGCAGCACAGGGCCTCCTCGACCCTGCAGGGTCACCAGCTGGTGCGTCTGGTGACATGTCATACATATGTATTGGTGACATATATATACACACATATACATGTATACATGGTGACATATATATATATATATAAACATGTGAGAATAGTAGTGCATTCACGAAGTTGTGGATACTCCGTACATTGGTTCTGTGGCCCAGACCTTGATACTGCGTGCTCGTTCTGGCTCGACGCGCTGCGGAGTTCTGGCTCGACGCGTTGCGGACGACTGCACACACACAGCAATCTGCTGCACTTCTGCTAGGAGGGCGCAGTGGTCAGCAGCGCCCGCCGCGGCCGCCGCAAACACAGCTAGCTGCGCGCTTCAAGCCAAGCCACGATGTCTCGCAGGACGCGCCCAGTGATGCCAGGGGTGTCCTGCGCGGCGCGGGGTGGGGGCAACGCAGGAGGGGAGAAGGCGCTTTCGCTGCTGGGACATCAATGACAGGGAGCATGAGGAGCGGATCCCTGTTGGCAGGAAGGGGGTCCCAGGTGGTGTGGTTGCGGCCGACCGGCTGTCGCAAAGTGCCCAGGGTGAGGGGGCATCACCAAGAAAGGAGGGGCGGTGCTTCCAGGCGAGGCCCAGAGCCAAGCGTTGACTTCGTCATACAAGGTGGATTTTCTCAGTTCCATCGGCCCAGGCTCGCCTGCAGCAGCTGGTGGCTGCCTCCAGGGTAGATGACGAGCGTCTTGTCGCCGCAGGCGCCGGCGCGCGCGTGCAGCTCCCGCGACAGCCGCGCCGAGACCTTCTTGTCCTCGTCCCCATGCAGCAGCAGCAGCGGCAGCGCCAGGCGCGTGCCGGCCGCCGCGGAGGCGTCGAGGGCGGGGAGCATGTGGGGCAGAACGCCCAGCGGGAGCCGCCTGACGATCAGGGGGTCGCTGTCCCACGCGCGGCGCGCAAATTCCTGGTCCCCGAACGACGCCATAAAGGGTCCCTCGCCGCCGATGCCCGCGCCCGCCGGCGCGCGCGGCAGCGCCGCCGCGGCGCGCCGCAGCGCGGCAAACAGCGCCGGCGGCGGCAGGATCTCAGGCGGGCCGGTGGCGGCGCCGGACAGGATGAGGCCGGAGAACAGGGGGTGGTGGGAGCCGCCGGCCGCGGCGGTGCGGTCTGCGGCCAGCAGCGCCAGGGCGCCGCCGAGCGACTCCCCGAACAGGAAGAGGGGCGTCCCCGGTGGATACCCCAGGCGGTCACGCGCGTGCCGCGCCACCTGCTCGGCCGGCGGGGGCGACATTGGATGGGTTGGGGCGGCCCAAGGCGGCGCGTGAGGCATCCGCAACGCGCCTGCCGGCGCTGCCGCCCTTACCCTCATTCCGCTCGCCGCAGGCCAATATCCAACCAAAACCCCAACGCCCAAAACCCCAACGCCCGGCAGGTGCCCCCAAAAAGCAGTTGCGGGGAAGCTCTCGAGCCCTCCCACCTGCACGACCGCGTCGACCCACGAGCCAATGTCTGGGTGCAGCCCCGGCACGCCAAACCGGCTCCCGCTCAGTCCGTGAGCCGCCAGGTCGAACGTGACCACCCCAAAACCCGCCGGGCCCAGCGCCGTCCTCGCGGCCGGCTCAAAGTATGCGCTGTGCCACGTGAATCCGTGCACGAACACCACCATGCCGCGCGGCGCGGCCGCGTTTTCGCCCGCGCCGTCGCCGACGGCGCCCGCGCCGTCTTCCCCGTCTCCTTCGGCGCCCTGGGGCGCGGCGGCCGCGCGGGGCGCCGCGGGCCAGTGACGGACATACAGGGAGACGCCGTCGGCGGCGGTGAGGGTGAAGGCCTCTGCGCCGGTCTCATCCTGCGGGGTCCGTCGCAAGCAGCACAGCGGAGGGGGGTCGGCTGCGGAGGGGTGGCTCTTGCGCGGCGGTGAGGCCGGGCGGCGGGCCCACGGCGGGTGGAGGGGTGCAAGGTTTAGGGCAGTGGCGGCAAGACAGGTGGTGGTGCTGAACGGTTCTGGAACCTTGAACCACACAGAAGCGCTCAATTACATCACAATAGATGAATCCCGCCCATCGTGCGGGCTGGCAGTCCGCAGGTACCTGAGAGGGGTCGGCTCGCACCCCCCAGGCACGGGGGTCGACGGGCACCTGCGTGTGCATGAGGGCCGAGAGGGAGTGCGGGTTGGGTATTTTGACAGCGGTTGGGTGCCGCTCGCAAGTCGCGCGGGACCATGCCGTCAGGGGCGAGGGGATGCAGCGGTGTTTTCCGGGCGGAGCGCTTCGGGAGCCAATCGCTTAGGCGGGGTCTAGCGGATGGCGGCCAAGGGTCAGCAGGACGCGCGGCACTTTGATGGCGCGCAGCTTTTCCGACAACGCACCGGCCCATAAGCATTGTAGATGGCGGCGGCAGCGACAGCAGCGGCTGCGGCGAGCGCGGCCGCTGCCACAGCGGCCGTGCGCATGTTGATCGAGGCGCGCGCCTGAGCCCTCCTGCGCACAACAGCATTCACAACGGTGGAATTTGGGCCGTAGCAGCGATTGACACATTGATGCTGCGCAATCGCCCAGCCGGGTGGGACGAGCGCCCGCTGGCCCGCCGAGGCGCGCGCTTTTGGACCCCCGTCTGCGTCAGCCGCGCTCACCGAGGTGCGGTCGCCCACCCGCCCGGATCGAGGTGAGGCTGAGGTTTGCGAGTCCAGAACAAAAGATGTTATGGGTCGCAGATACTGCCGGCGGATTCAGAATTGGGTCAGCTAGCAGCGTGTGCGCATAGACTGTAGATCACGTTTAAAGGAAGCTTTCTCACCGCAAAGGTTGTCAATGCACTGAATGTATAAGTGTGTTTTGAATGCGCACCATTAATTCCGAAAAGAAGCCTCATCAGGACGCCAACATTTTTTGGAGCCGGGGTAGCACCCGCGGGCCGAGCCTGGGGAGGCGTGCTAGGCGACGTCGCTAAATTAACAGCTTCATTGCCTATGCATTAGCCTGTACAGGATTGGTCGGTGACGCAGGGGCAGTGATGTTGCTGGGCCTCGTCGCCCTGAGGCTTGCCTCTTGTCGCTCGCGTGCGGTTCTTGTGCACGAGGGGATCCTAGCACAGTTACTAAGCGGCTGCAACGTCGATGCAGCGCCGGCCTCGCGCCGCGCACTGACAAGCAGCAACGCTGGCAGCGATGCGGCGGTGACAACCGCTGGCACGGTGAGCGGCGGCGGCATGATCGAAAGGCAGCGGCGCTTGGTGGCAGAGATCATAACAGCTGCACAATGGCAGAAGGAGGACAAACAGAGGCGTGCGAACGCCTTTTTGGAAGCTGCCTCGCCGCCGACAGCGCGGCGATGGGCCGATAACGCCGGCCAAGGCATCCACACGCGCGGCAGCGGCGCGCCCAGGGGCCACGCCTCCCCGACGCGCGCCGCTGCGCCCTCGCAGCAGCAGCAGCAGTGGCACGCCGCCGCGGCGCCAGACCCATGGCAAGACGACTGCGGCGGCGGCGACGTTGAGGGGGTAGAGCATGCACCCGACCGGGCCGGCCGCCGGGGCGGCGAGGGCGGCGGCGGGGGCAGCGGCAGCAGCGGTGGGGCCGGCGGTGGCTTCTCAGGCGGCACGCGGGGCGCGGTGGTCAGATTGCGGCAGCCAAGGGTCGAACCGCAGGCTGATGGCATTAAGCTCCCCGTCAAGGCATATCACATAGGTGCGGCCGCTCAAACCCCCACCCCGGCCCTGCTTGCGATGCGTGCTGTGCATGCTGGCCCTCGCACGGCCGCACCCCCGCCACTCAGCCCATGCAGCAGGCGCCCACGCCGCATGCACTCCCGCGCCCTCAACAGCAGCCACGCCCACCCACAACCTTTGCGGGTTTCCATGTGCGGCCTTTGCCCCCCGGCGCCCCCGCCGCGCCCTCGCAGGCGGCGGCGTCGACTTTCAGCGTTTTGCGGCCGACCACTCCCAGCTGATCAGCAAGCACCAGCTGCAGCGGGACCACGTGGTTATGGAGCTGGCAGACATGACGGGCGGCACGGTCCTGCTGGGGGCGCGCACGCGGCAGCAGGTGCGCGCGGGCCTGCAGGCTGTACCTGCCGCCGCCGCTGCGGCCGCGGCCGCTGCTGCCGCGGGCCATGGAGAGCTGCGGCGAGGTCCTGAGACCCGTTTGCTGGAGCAATGGGGCAGCAACTTGTGCTGACGCGCGCGCGCACACACACACACACACACACACACAAACACACATGCGCGCACGCGCAAGGGCCCTTGATAGCAGGGGGCCGCTACACTCTGTTGACTGCGGCCTGTCCACCTCTCACCCCCCCCCTCACCGCCACCCCGCCCAAAACAAACACACAACCCAGGCGGGCGCGTCCAGCGCGGTGCGGGTGCTTGCCGTGTACAGCTACGGCTCTGCGGTCTTCTTCAACTCTGACCCAGAGGTGCGTGTCTCGGCCTACGCCCTGGGCACGCATTGGCGACTTGCGGGTGCAGGGCTAGGCGTGTCATGCGGTGGTGTCTGAAGAGGCCGGCAGGATTGGGCTGCGGCGGTTCAGTATTCAGCAGAGGGTTGGAGCGGCCCATAGAGCAGCAATTTGGGTCCCGGGACGTGGGTCGGGCGGGGACGCTGGTTGGTCCGCCCGCGGGCGGCGGCGGCTGGTTTGGGGTTGGGGGGTGGAGTAGCAAGGGGCCCCCCCTGCTGCTGATTGGCGCTGCTTGCGACCAAACCGTGACGAGGTTTGGCCCCATTCCTAAACTCTAGGCGGATGCGTACTGGCTGGAGAAGCTGAAGGGGTATGCCAAGGACCCCCACAGGGAGCCGCTCACAGACGGTGCGCAGCCAAAGCATCAAGAGAACCGCTACTGCACCCATGCCATGCGTGTCAAACCTGGTTTCAGCACCCTGGCGTGCTCCGTCGACCGCCTTAGCCTTGTCATCCTGCAAGCTGGCCTCCAGGTGCTAGCCTCCCCTCATCCAGCGTGCTGGGCGCAAGCGCCGCCTGTTGTTGCGTGCATCACACTCATTCTTTGTCAGGTAACATTCTCCTGTTTCTTTCCGTGTTTCAGAGACGACGGTGGTCGTGCGGCCCGCGCTGGATGACTGGTTCGCGCTGGAGCCCGATCACATTGTGCTGCAGGTGATCTTTGGCAGGGGTCCGAGGGGGGGGTGACGCAGATGAACTTCGGGCCTGGGGGCGGGCGACAAGGGGTGGCTATGGGTGTCTGAGCGGCTCGACCAAGATGAGGTGGGGATTGGACTAGGGGCAGCTGCGGGGTTGGGAGGCTGGAGCATGGTGTCGAATGCTGGGGCAGCTGCGACACAGAGTTTGAAGGTCATACAGTTATGACTGCACATGTGCGAGCATACACGCACGTGCACACACACAAACACACAAACACACGCACACACACGTGCACATGTGCACAAATTTTATTTTCTGGGCGCGATCGCGTCTGCTTGGCCGTCAGCAGCCGTGCGCTGCAGCCCCTTCCCCCTGTTGCCACCCAGCCTCCCACCTCATCCACATTGCCCGTCCGCCTGCGCTGTGCCGCCCGTCTGCCTGTCCTGTCACCCCAGATGCTGGACCTGTCCAACGTGCGCGTCATCAGCAGCATCATGGGGCAGAGCGTGGCCCTGGAGCACTTTGACAGGTGATTGGACGGGGCATACGCGTAGTAGCACGCGCCTTGGATAGGATGGGTCAAATGGGTGTTGTGGTGGGGAGGAGGGGTGTCTTGTCTCACTGGTGCGGGCGGTCCTCAGCCTCTGCGCTGTTTTTTTGCTCTCATATGGGCGAGCAGGACTCAACATGGCCGTAGTCGCAAACAGAGGCTCTGGCGCCATCCGGGCGCCGCCAACGCCCCGCGCCTGCCCTAGCCAACCCATCCACCCGCCCCCGCACCGCCCCGCACTGCCGTCCTTCCGCCAGGCGCGTCATCGCGGCCATCGAGAGGTTCACCCCCGTGCTGTCGGAGATTGCCAGCAAGGGCGTCAGCAAGGTGGACAATTGCACGTGACACCGCGGCATGTTGACCACGGCTGACCGTGTCTGAGATGGATCCTGCCCCTCCAGCGTCCCCACTCTGACCCACCACGCACCCACACCGTCACAGTTGCATGTGCGTATGCACACACACGCACACATGCACACACACGCACGCGTACACGCACGCACGCACACACACACACACACATGCACATTCGCACACATCCAAGTAGCCCCCCACACAAACGCACGCACACTCTCACGCACAGTCACACCCACACACATGCACCCTCCCCGCAGCTCGTCCTCCCGAGCCTCTTCTCAGGCATGACGGGCCACCACGAGGACGAGCTCCTCAAGCTGATCGGCGAGAGCAGCCTGCTGCACACAGACGTAGTCTACAAACTCGGCCTGCTGCACCCGACGGACGTCGCGTGGCGCACCGACAAGTGCGCGTGGGGCGCGTCGGCGGGACGGCGAGGGGTTGCGTGGGCAGGAAGGGGCGGATTGCTGGGGGCCAAGCTGGCGCGCCGCGGCGGCCTGAGGTGGCGCCTCGCTGGGGGTTTGATTGTGCTGCGGCAAATGGCGCGCGGGGGTGCCCACTCCTGCCCTGCACGCTGCGCAGCGCTGTAAAACAACCGCACGCTGCAAACTCGATGTTGCGCCGCGCCGCCTGCCGGCGCGCCCGCAGGTATTACGACGTGTGGAAGGCGCTCCACGCGGACTACGATATTGAGAAGCGCTTTGAGGCCCTCAAAGCCAAGGTGGGGGCGGCCGTGGGCAGCCAGCAGCCACCGGGAAGCTGCGGGGCCTGGCAGGGGCTGGTGGTGGCTGGCAGTGCAGCTTGGTGTGCGAGCGTTTTGGCGCCCGAGCGCTTGCCGCGCGCTCACCAATGCACGCGTGCCCTCGAGCCCGAGCTTGGATACGCACGTACGCCCGTGCACACATGCACACACACACACACACACACACACACTCACACACCCTCCCATATTCACGCTTGCAGCTTGGTCCCATGCTGGCCAACGCCAAGTTTGTGCTGGAGGTAAGGGAGGACAAGAAGAGTGAGAGGTCGGAGCTCATCATCATATTACTCATCGGGGTCGAGATCGTGCTGCACGTCGCCGGCTGGTACATGTGACAGGCCCACGCGGCGGGCGCGCCGCGGGGGCACGGCATAGTGTGGCCGACGGGGCCCGCTCGACTTGCTCGCTCGCAGAGGCGGGCGTGGCAGCCGTGCGGCTGGCTGGAGCCTTAGCCACTCGACGCTTCCCCCGCGGATGGTTGCCCCAGCCGACGGTTGCCCTTGACACCGCTGCATGCACCTGCCTGTTTGATCTTTCTCATCTTTTTTTTGCACAGCTGCCACGTTAGGACGGCAACGCAGATTCAGGCAGGCGGGCACGGGCGCGGCCACTTGTACATTTTCACTTTGCTGTTGTTGCACAGCGCACGTCATTTCGCTGTCTGTTACAGCGGGTGCAACTGCTTGTCTGCAGGTATGTATCACCCGCTCCCTTCATCCCGTGTGTACATCCTTACGACCCATCTGGTGTAAGCGCAGCGCAGGAGGACGGCAGCGCCTCCACTTAAGGTCAAGGGTCGAAAGGTTTGTGTCCCTACACCATGTTTCGCCAGTTCAGTCTGGATGCAGGCTCTTTTGTATTGCCCTGCTGCATGTGGCCACCAGGCCACGGGGGAGCGGTTACGCTCGGCTCAGCATCAGCTGTCTGGGAAGCGCCGCTTGCCGGGCAGCCACCGTCAGGCCGCTGCACTCAGCGACTTGTTGTGAACGCTGGCACCGCACAAGCCCCCAGGCACGCCTGGTGCAGCTTGAAGGCCAGCTTGCCACGTTGGGACGATTGGTAACCAAGTGGAACACGTCGTGCTTACGCGGGTATCTGCTGGCTGCAGAAGGCGCAGACGTCGTCACGCGTGGGTCTACTGTCTGTCACCTTTGAGTGGCCAAACCGGGCGACTGGCAAGGCGTGTCATGTCTGCGCGTGCGCAAACATGCGTTCCAACGCGTTAAGCAGGTGCACCCGTGCCTTTTTCCAGCTGCCCACCAAAGGCAAGGACAGCCTGCTTGCCGCGCTGCTGCGAGCACTGCCCCCGGGCCCCCGCTGCTCGGATTAGATGTGTTCAGTGTTGGGGCTGAGGCTAGGGCAGTGGCTGTTGGCCGGTGACAGCCAAACTTTCAGGGGCGCATGAAAAACAAGGCTGGGGTGAGTAATGCCGCCATGATGCGCCCTGAAAGCGGGGCCTGACAAGCAAGAGCAGGTTTCTTGCAAAAATCAGAATGTTGGTGAGCACTGATTTGACTGCCTGCGGCTCAGCATTTAGCTGTGGCAATTCAGGAATCTAGCCGGTCTGCAGTATGTGACGCGAATGCCGGGGTGGATCCAATGGGAGCTGAGGGCTCATTTCAGCCGGTGTCACCTCTTGTGGCACTGGCAACTTGCAAGCTCCACTGGACCGTTCACTCTGTGGCTGTGCCATCCCATCCTGGCACCGCCGATTCGTACATATGTCTCTGATGTTCGTACATATGTCTCTGATGAAAGCAGCAGCGCCAGGTCTCCGCAGATACCAGGCTCATCAATGTTTCGGAGGCCTCCCAACAGTGATCCCACTCTGCATCTGCGTGTGAGACATGCAGGGACCACAAATTTTACACTTGACGAGATAGACCAGCTGCAGGCCGCCTTCTCGGCGTTCGGTGCTTGCGAGCACGTCGTGGACCGCCTGTATGTGTGTTTCACTTATCAAAGTGTGCAGCAAGCTGTTCAAGCGCACCGGCATCTGGATGGCGCCAGCATCGCTTTAGCGAACGGCGGCAGCAAGCGGCTGGAGGCGCGATACTGCGTGCCCCGCCACCAACAGGTGCGCACCACTGAAGGATAGGCCCAGCGGTTGCCGGTTCATTGTGCACGCCTTCTTAACAATCACATTCCTGCGGCGGTTTGCCCCCATGCGGCTCCAGTGCACTGCTGCAGGCCGAAAGCCCACTGCCGCCGTGCTAACGCCGCTGATTGCTCACCGCCTCGCAGGAGGCCGAGCAGGCGTCACCAGACGCGGTGACGACCTCCGAGGAGATGAGGATCCCCGGCCTGCTGCTGGTGCCCGACTTTGTGAGCCCAGAAGAGGAGGCCGCGCTGCTGGCGGCAATCGATGCAAATCATGGCGGCTGGTCGGCGCTGGCGAAGCGGCGGGTGCAGCACTATGGCTATCGGTGAGGCGCGGCTGCGGGCGGCTGGCCCACCTGATAGGATGAGCGAGGGCGCTTGCCGGGCAGCTGCGGGGCAGGCGCCCGCGCCTGCGCGCCCGGGGCGCGCATGCGATTGGCGCGTGGTCTTGCAGCCGCTGCAGCTGTTTGCTGCAGTGCAGCTGCGTGGTAGCTCCCAGCGCGTTCATCCCGCTCCTGGCGAGGCTTGAAACAAATGCTCGCATCCAATTCACAAGCAACGTGTATTCGTTTTCAAGCTTGTGTTAGACAGAATCTTGCTGCACGCCACAACCCAGGTTTGAGTACGCCGTCCGCGGCGTTGACCCGCGGCAGCGCGCTGGCGAGCCCCTGCCCAGCTGGCTCTCCCCCGTCCTCGCCCGCATCGCCGCCGCGCCCGGCCGCCTGGGGGCGCCGCCGGCGCTCGACCAGGCCACGGTCAACGAGTACACGCCCGGCGTCGGCCTGGCCCCCCACGTCGACACGCACTCTGCATTCGAGGGCGCGGTCCTGTCTCTGACCCTGGCCGGCGGCGCCGCGATGGAGCTGCGGCGCGGCGGCGAGCGGCGCGCGCTGCTGCTGCCGCCGCGGTCGCTGCTGGTCATGGGGGGAGAGGCGCGGTACGCGTGGTGAGCGGCGGGGGGAGAAGCGGGGCCGTTGCGGCGGACGGAGGCTTTACTTTTAAGAGCGCCCCTGCAGGCACTGTTCGCGGCTCGCGCCTGCCAGTCTGCCTCGTTTGAAACAAGGCAAACGAGTCGTTTCTGATAAGGCGCCCTGCTTTCCTTCCTGCCACATCATATATATGCTGGACTGATCACCTCCTAATCTGAATCTTGCTTGCCTGGTAATCAAATCCGGCAATTTCCCGCCAACACCACAAATGTAGGCAGCACTACATCCCGCACCGGAAGAGTGATCTGGTGGGCGGCATCCCGGTGCTGCGCCCGCCGAGGCGCGTAAGCATCACGCTGCGGCAGGTGCGGGACCCGGGGCAGCCGTGCCGCTGCGCGTGGCCGGAGCAGTGCGACAGCCAGCTGGGCGCGCAGCCGCCGACGCGGCTGCAGGTGCTGGCACAGCAGCTGCAGCAGCAGCAGCGGCAGCAGGAACAGCAGCAGCAGCAGGGGCAGCAGCGTGAGCATCCACATCATCTACTCATCAATGGACAGCAGCCGGGATGGGAGCAGCAGCAGCAGGAACAGCGGGGGCAGCAGCAGCAGCAGCAGGAGCAGCAGCAGGAGCAGCAACTGCAGAAGGAGCGGATACCAGGAGAGAGTGAAGGGCAGCGGCAGGACGAGGAGCAGCGGCAGCAACAGCCAATCATGCCGGTGAACGGCAGCAGCAGCCACAGCCCTCACAGCAGCAAATGTGCGGACACTCCTGCAGCTGCGGCGGCAGCGGCGCAGGCGCACGCGCCCGCCCCTCCAGCGGAAACTGAAGGGTCGGAAGCCGCTGAGCAGCTGGCGCAGCAGCTGGAGTCAGCTTACGTGCACCGTGTCTATGACGCGATAGCCCCTCACTTCAGCTCGACGCGGTTTGCGATCTGGCCAAAGGTGTGGCTGGGGGTCATCCTGCTGGGTCAAGGAGCAAGGGGGGCAGGCAGAGCTTTGTGTCACCCATGCGCGCGGGCCTCACATGCAGGGGAACTCGGCTGCCACGGGGCGGCCTCGCTCTGCGTGCTCTTCGTTCCTTGCGCCAGGGCCATTGAAGTTGCGCCCCAAAACGCCATGAATTGCGCTGACTTATCCGGTCGCGGCGGACCGCAGCCGTTTGAACCTGCTTGCAACAGAATCGAACCCACACCACCACAAACAGACCGGCAAATCTCCTTGACTCGCAAAATCGCAAACCCGCAGGTCAGGGAGTTCATGGAGCGCCTGCCCCGCGGGGCGGTGGTTGCTGACGTCGGCTGCGGCAACGGAAAGTACTTTGGGGTGCGGCGGGACGCCGCAGTCCTCGGCAGCGACAGGAGCACGGGTGAGCAGGTGGTCGGGAATAAGCAGCCGTCGGGCAAATTTTGATGTGCTGCCAAATCACCAACAGGTGGCCAAAGTGGTTGATAGACTGTGTGCTGTTGGAGCACTTTTCAACACAGTCGAAACATCAGGGACCTGTCCGCCGCCCTGTTTTTGGTTGGCTGCAAACTGGGCAGTTGGATAGCTACGCAAACCCGCGCACGCCGTCTGTCTGCCCCTTGCAGCCGCAGATTGCGCCGCGATCGCATGCCTCACGCACGCCTTCGTCAACGCGCTCGCCCATCCCCGCTCCCGCCGCCGCCCGACCCGCAGGCCTAGCCGCGGTCGCGGCGCGCCGCCTCGTGCCCTCCACGCTGCCGTCTCTGTACATCCCGACCGCCGACGTGCTGGTCGCAGACGCTCTGGCCCTGCCGTACCGCGGCGGCTGCTGCGACGCGGCGCTGTGCGTGGCGGTGCTGCACCACATCAGCAGTGAGGAGCGGCGGGGGCGGCTGCTGTCAGAGCTGCTGCGCCTGCTGCGGCCGGGTGAGGCTCTTTGTGTGTGTGTGTGTGTGTGTGTGTGTGTGTGTGTGTGTGTGTACGTGTGTCTGTGTTGGTGTATCTTTGTGATTTTGCTGTGGTGGTGGTGATGAATGGTTTTTACATTGTACCGCCGTTCAGGGGCAGGGTTGGGCTGGGAGCGCGAGTTGAGGGCCCAGGGCTGTGGCCGACTGAGCAGGGTCTCGCTGCGTGGCCGAGTCAGGTTGAGGGTGGCCGGCGAGCAAAACAGAAGGGCATCGCGTGTGTCATGGTGCAGACCAAGGGCGACCTTTCACCTTCCTGGCGGTGTGGCCGACGCTGTGCGCGGCAGGCTCTGGCAATCGTGCTCCCCGTCCGGCACAGGCACTGCCTTCCGCCACAATCTCTGGGCAGCCAGCCGGACGTGCCAGTCATATCTGACGGGAACCAAACGGTCACCCTCCTCTACGCAGGCGGCCGCGCTCTGGTCACTGTCTGGGCCACAGATCAAGAGGAGCCCCACAAAACCATCGCCAAATGGGCGCCCTTCGCTGGCGCGCCGCAGCCGCCGGCGCCGGCTGGGGGCAGCAGCATGGTCGGACCGCCAGAGGGGGGCAGAAGGGAGGACGAGGGGGCGGCGGCGGGCGGGCAGGGCCCGGCGGGGGACTATTTGGTGCCTTGGCACCTGCCGTTCAACAGGGCCGGCGGCGCGCCCGCCGCCGCGGCGGCGGCAAAGGCGGCGCCGCACCCCGGTGAGGGCGGGGATGCGCAGCGGCAGCTCGCAGGCGCAGGGGGCGCGGCGGCGGCGCCGGGCGCGGCGCGGTTGGATGCAGCGAAGGGCGCGGTGGTCTTTCAGAGGTACTACCATTTGTTTGAGCGGGGAGAGCTGGAGGCCCTGGTCGCGCGCGTGCCGGGCGCCACGCTGGTTGACTCATTCTACGACAGGAGCAACTGGTGTGCGGTGTTCGAGCGCGCCGCCGCCGTATGACGCCGCTTCTGCCGGAGCTGCCATTCTCAACATCTGCGGGCGGCGCCCGGTCGGTCCCTGGCCTGCGAGGACCTGTATCCCCAGCTTGCCTGCTCTGAGGCGGCCTTTTGCAACGCATCCCGCCTCCTGCTGTTGTATGTCGACCAACGCACCTAATTTTTCCCAAAGATTCATGCAACTCGTTGGTTGAAGAGCGGCGGTCAGTCAAGCATCGCTCAAACGACCTGTTACAACTGCGGAGCGCGCTCATCGCCACCGGCCGCTGCCGCGTTGCCCGACCAGCTTTGAAATCATGCCATGCAGGGTGGCCACCTCCTGCTTCGACAGCCGCGGCACGCGGCGCAGCAGGTTGCGGATGTTGGCCTGTGATGGCAGACGAAAGTTTGTGGCAGTGAGCACGGTCAGGGGTCACTCAAGGGTGATGGTGCCATTTCAAGAGGGGCATGGATATGCAGACAGTCACAGGACATGCTCCAGGGACTCAAGAAAAAAAGACGTTAAAAGGGTGCAGCACAGGGCAGGTTCAGCGGTCAATCAAGGTGGGTGCGCCCCCCCCCCCCCCCC